GCCCACCACCGTTCCATGAGAACTCTCATGGTGGTTTCTGTCAGGTACCAGGACAGAGGTCACATCCTTGACACCCTAGATGACCCTGGGCCCATCGGCTCTCGGCCTCTCCTTGCCTGGGCCAGCCTTGCTCCTCTGCTCCAGTGAGGCTGCTTCTGCTCAGCGCCCTGCAGGGTGCAGTTCCCTCCGACTAAAATGCTCTCTCCTCCTCATCAGTGCCCAGAAGTCTCTTCCTCAGGGAGGCCTTTTGTAAAAGCCACCCTGGCCATGTCACATCCCCTCATGACATGCCTCCCTCCTATGCAGTGTCTAATTAAACTGCCTCTTAACATTCACAGCCACGTGCCTCATAAGGATGCCTAGCGACATCCTAGCTGTCTTTGATCACTCTGTGATGCTCAAATCACAAAGACTCGCCTAAAGACCCATTTCTCAGAATGCCCCCCGCTGTCTAGCTCTTTATGGTGGTCTTTGTGGTCTTTGAATTCGGTTTGTCTCCGTCAGTCCACAGGCCCTGTATTAAAAAGAGACCTGTGGGTTTAGATTTACCACCCTGCACCTAAAACTCGGCACAGTGTCTGACACACAAGAGATACTTGAGAAAGATCCACTGCATGAATAAATCCATGTGCACAGTCAGTTTCCAGAAGCAGGAGTCCTTTTTCCTTGCCTAGGCTCTTAGAGTTGAAAGTTCAAAACATTGGTCTTTGGTGGGATTCTACTGAAACCAATGGTTTGTCAAAATCTCCCAGCAGTGAACACTATTTTTTCCTCTGCAAGAGATGGTCAGCAGAGGGCCCCCCAGGAGCAATTATTGAGGTCCGGTCAGTGAAAGCAGAAGTCAGCTGGGAAACAGCAGATCCTGTTCCCAAATCTGTGGACCCTTGAGCAGCTCAGAGACCACCAGCAGGCCCTACAGTGCAGTGGCACTCTAGCCCAACACCCATAAACCATTTGGTCTATTCTCCAAAACAGAACTCGGAGGGCAGAAGGGCAGAGCCCTCTGCAGATTATTTGAATGCAAACCCACAGCTTGCTTCTGCAATTGTCAGTTGCACGCTAAGCAACTTGTAATCAAGACCTCACACTGCTTGGTAGAGTCGTGCCCGAGTGTCGGGGGAGACTCGCTTTCTGTGGGGGCCACTTTCCGCTTGCCAGTCAGTAGTTTTATTTCCATTTTAATTTTCAGAGCATCTGCCCCCCAGCCACAGCCGGTGGTTTGGAATTCATGACTCTGTTGTGTGTTTACGCACTACGCTTGCTTGTAATTGACAAATTTAAATTCTGGTCATATTTCATTTATTACCCAGACCCAGGGAAAAAATCCTAGGCGAAAACCTAATTATAGGGAAAGTGCCACAAGGTAATTGCTGTGAAGGAACTCCTGCCGTGGCAGGGCTGAATATTTCATCCACCCATAAAATGATTATGCTGACAAGATTCTGAAAAATAATAAAATCTGTTTAATAAAAAAGAAGCAAAATATCAGTGTTTTTACACACAAAGTATTAAAACATCCTTCATTTTGGACAGATCCTAAGTCATTTGATTTTTATTCAAATCATGACCCACAGCCCTGATAGTTCTTTAATCCAAGACTGGAGTGCTGCAATCCTTCCACACGAGGAAGCTTTGGGGCCTGGCGTGGGCTTTCAGAATCCACTTTTTATTGCTCTAGTGGATCTTTGGAAGATGCTCCAGGATCAGAAAACAGACAAAACAGACAGGATGAAGGCCGGAGGGCAGTGCCCTTAGGTTGGACTGCTGTGTCTAGATTGCTACAGCACATCCACTCTCTCCCCAGCTGCCTTGCAACTGCCCCTCCTTTAGAGGGCTCAGGAAGCATGAAAATGTGGCTTCTGCTACCAAAGCTTTGCTGAGAGTCCTGCAAGGTGGTGTCAGGGGGCAATGCACATCTTGGCTTCTCAGACCATCCAAGACACTACAGCAGTGCTCCATCTATTAATTCAGCTACTGAACAGAGACATTTTGAGCACATACTCTGTGCCAGGAATTGTGCTAGGTACAGGGTAGATGAGGGAGAATAAGACAATCCATTCCCTCCCTTAATTAGAAGTACATCATAGTAAAAGAGACAAGTTAAAGCCCAAGCCGAGAGAAAACAAAAACATAAACAACAATATAACCAATTAAATCAAGTAGCATACGGAAACAAAGAACTCATCTTAGAGAATGTGCCCTAAAACATGAAAATAAGCCCCTTGGGAGGCTCAAAAGGAAGCAATTGCAGAACCACTGTTGGCATGGACCAGGGTTGAAAAGAGGGGGAGGAAGGGGACTGGCACCATGCAGACCAGGGCAAGAGGGCAGCGTTTATTCCAGGTTCTAGAAGGAACGATGGGAGCAACTGAAGGAAAGACATGATCCAATGTACATGTTCAAAAACTTGCCCTGTTGTAGTGTGTAGAGAGAATTGTAGGAGACAAGAGTCTCAGCGAGAAGCCAGTAAGGATGCACTTGCAAGCAGCTCAGGTGGCGGGGCCGATGTCCTGGACCAGGGGCATGGCATCAGAGGTAGTAAAGTTCTGAGTACAAAATGCACATCTAAAATAGATATATTTTAAAACCCAAACCACTTCTCAATCTCTAGATCTTGGCTCTCCATTATGATGGCAAATAAAACTAGAGACCAAAGAAATAAAATAAAACAAAGGCCAGAAGAAATAAGACCTAAGTTAAAATGAGGCTGGTGCACCCATCTCCTCCCTCCCTCACCTGAGAGAGCAGAGCAGACGGTGTGAGTTGTTTCCACCTGGGCCAGAGGAGGCCTTGCACCCCATACACTTTCCTCTCTCATTAAGTGGACCTTATTTATATCTAAAATTATGTAAGTAGACATTTTGAATGCACTGAATCCTGGCATCAGAGCCAAGGTGAATTTTCGTGGTGCTCCTGCACTTGTGGCTTATGAATGCCCAGGAAGCTGAAGTCAGTGTTCCGCCAAGCAGGGCACACAGACCACCTGGGGTACAAGAGCAGGTGGTATAAAGGTACAAATCTGGGGAGCCCCACCTTAGGTTTACTAAAGCAGAGTCTTTGAGCCTTTCAAAAGCTCCCTGAGTTAACTGACAAACAGCATAAATAGCTCAAGAAGGTCTGCTTTAAAGTGATTGATGTACCATGCTGAGATGTGACCTGAAGATAAAATAGATGGGGTTGGGTGAAAATTGTAGCTGGGCTAAATAAATAAACACAAAGAAATAAAACCCCCTTAAACCTTTTAATCATAAATGCTAATAATGATTGTTAACATTTTGGTGAAATTCTTCCAAACTTAACCTTCACACACATACATTCCTTTCTTCATAATGAAAGATGAGTGCACTCTTACATTCTAGTGTAACTGACTTCATAAACACGTCATATGTCTTTTCATAAAGAGGCTCATTCTTCAATGCACAGCAGGCTGATGAGGGTGCCGTGTGGGGTGGGGCAGTGCTCAGAGGCAGAGGACCTTGGATCAGGATCTATGCCTTTAATAAACAGAAAATATCGTTATGGGATGGATGGCTGACATAATAGAATTAGAAACATGCTTTTATTTGGGGATAGAGACAGGTGTTCTCTGATTGGTGGATCTCTGGAAATAAACACAACTTGTATCATGAACATGCCTGGCTGGAGGAAGGCATCGTCTAAAGCAAAGCACAAAGAGTTTGCAGACAAAAGGACAGGCAGGCAACAGTGACAACACAGTGTCTTGTTGAAACCATCAGCATCTGTCTATCACTGTCTCAAACACCCAGAAGGAAGCTACCTGGTAAGTGCATCCAGGCTCCCATTCTGAACATCACCTTGGAAGCCTCAGCATCTCAGGCTTCCAAACCTTCTGAATCCCAGGGCTCCACACTCTTTGCCTTTCTTCTTTCTTGGCTGAAGTATGCAGAGTTAAGACTCACCAGATTTAGTAAATAGCAGGATTTCCAATTTCATTTCTGAATCTGAGTGCCATACAACACTCAGGACAAACGTACTATCTCAGGACAAACGTACTATAACAATTGTCATTTCTCTGAAACTTGAATTTAATTGGGTGTCCTTTTTTTTTTTTCTGGCAACCTTACTTGGTTAGCTTCCTATTTTAGAGAAAAATGTTGATACAGAACTGTAATTTCTTAGAAGTAAAAACACCTCAGCTAACCTAGGAGCAAGGTAGGTTTTTGGTAATATCTTTTTGTGTTGCAGAGTGTTTTCTTCTCTCCTGGAGAGAAAGAACATGCTTCTAATATAACATCAGCTACCTGAAGACAAGAGTGGCAGCAAATCCAACTTTCATTTTAGATCACAGAGGCTGTGATCTGCTTGCTTTTTGCTTCCTTTATGTGGCTGGCCAGGGGAAATCACTGGTTGAATACAGAGGGGAGTCTTTGATCTTTCCAAGGTGGTCCTGCTTCTCCGGTAAGAATCCCAAGTATGTGCAGGGGTTGCTACTTCCAAAATTTGTGAAGACTGGATTGTTCAGAAGGGAGTTGGCGCTCTGGCAGCAGCAGGCCCTTAGACACCCAGGCCAGGACTTTTAATTGATAATGAGCAGGCAGAGGAGGGAAATGGGAGCCCTGAGATCCAGTGGAAGAAGTGAGATAATTTACTCAATTTGTTTTCCTGGAAACCAGGACTTTGTGTCAATGATTTGTAATAAAGCTAACTGAGGCACAGACTTGGCTCCATAAAATGCTTAATCGCCCAGTTTTGATAACTGCCATTCTCTTTAGGGGGGAATTTACCAGCCTTTTAATCTCCTTCATTTGATTAGCATTAGAATCAACAACAGCAACACAACCTGTGTTGGGTTCCAGGAAACTGTTGTATTCACAGACTGATTAAAGAAGACAGATTTTTTTTTTAAGGGTCTTAACTATAATAGTCTCATGCATTAAGTAGTAGATCATGTTTTAAAAGTTTTATCTTATTAGGGAAAAACCAAAAAGACAGATGTATAGTTGTTTAAGGAGGTAAAAATACAACAACAAGTAGTCATCATTCCTCCAAGATAATTTTATGGATGAAAATACATTATTTTAGTTTTTTTTTCTGAGTTTTTAATCTGTTTTTTCCTTATAACACTTAGTTAAAAGAAACACAAAGTTGAAACTTCTTTGTGAATGAACAGCTCAATGAGGTCCTGTTTCATATGCAGTCATCTGAATCTATTTATAAGAAAAAAATCAGAGCTTTGGGGTGGGTAGAAAAGACTTTAGATCCCATGAAAAAGTTCTGTGAGTCTGGTAAGGTAGATCCTAGCCATGGTTAGGCAGGGCAGTTCCTGAAAATTCTTGGTTCATTCCTGAAACAGTTCCATGTGCTTGGGAGCTTGGGACACCACGTCCTGCCTAAGCCAACTCTGCCATCGCTTGATCTTTAGGGTCCTCGGTCTTAAGGCTATGCTCCCTCACCTACTGTTTTCAACTTCTCCCAAATAGCTTATTTTCTTTTGTTGTTATCTACAGGGTGCTTCCAAACATACAGAGGGAATCCTGTAGGTCTGGGGAGAAGTTTTCTTTTGTCTGCATCAAAATAAGGATATATCTGGTAAACTTTCTGTTAGGTTAGCCTTACTCTGAAATTTTATTCTTCCTTTTATTTTTCCTTTTGTTTTGATGTTAATTACCCTTGCTTTTATAAAACAGCAATGCCGGCTCTTGTCTTATTTGTATTGTTAATGTCCTTAATTCAGCCGAAGGCAGGTGGCACTCTGTTCTATAAGACAACATATCATAGAGGAAATAATGGAAGGACCCAGAATCGCACAAATAGGATGTACAAGGTTCTGTCCTTTCCTGGCCTTGAACCCTTGAGCAGGAACTGAGGTGAGAGTAAGTTTCTTTGTCCATAGATTAGGTTATCAGAAAATTAAAGCTTCTGACATACATATGACAGACAGTGGGTATCCAAAGAGTTTTGTTCTGTTGACTCTTTTTTATACCTTACTCAGCACTCAGAGTATTACATGAAACACACTCAGCACACATGCAGAAACAAATACCACCAGTGCTTACATTTAAACTATCATGTGAAGCATGCATCAGTACAGAGGCTTTTGTGAAACTGCAGAGTTGGGTAGGGTTTATTCAAGAAGCTGCCTATGGGATTTTGAAAGGAACATATAGCACATTGAGAATTAAGAAGTCTTAGAAGGGGAATAATTATTGGAGAGTGTATAATCCTAAATTCTAAAAAGCAGGGGACATGTCCCACCAGTAATAGGAGGGATATCTACATGTGGCAACATAGGCATTAAACAATGTATACCCAAGCAATGAGAGGTATTCCTCTTTCAGCTCTTTAAAAATCTTTGATTTTATTCAGAAGAATGTCTGTTTTCCCTACACTGCCTTTAACACTTCTCTAACATTAAGACCCTTTAACAAAGATCCCTCATTGATCAGGAGGCAAGCTCATCTAATTATTTAAAATACTGTCTTATTTTCATTTTCTTTATTTTTCCTCTAACCTTCTGTTAATATTTTATTCCATTTACACTGATGACCTACAGATTTAAAAGTAAACTTAAAATTTCAAAGGAAGTAAATTTTAAAATATAGAGGTAATAATAGTAACGTCAGTAGTACGAGGTTATGTCAAGCATTCATTACCCTGACCATCCCTGGGTGAAATCTGGAAAATACTGGTATAGCCCACGTGTCTCACCTAGCTTTGGATTAGATAATAAATTCTCCATGGTTAAAATGAATAATAACGAACAGGCTACTCTGTGGCTTGTCAGGAAAGCACTGGTTCAAGTGGCTACTGTGCATTACAGAGGAAGCTTAGAGAAGGTGCAGACCTTCCTAGCACCTGAGGTGGAGGAGACCAAGCTCCTCACCAAGACTAGGACAATAACCAGGGCACCACGTAAAACCTGTGGGCCAGCACCAAGGGATGAGTGAGAGTCCCCTTGCATCCAGCAAAGATGGCTTGAATCCCAGCCTCTCCGCTTGGCAAGACACCACGGTACCTCTCAGCTTACTGTATACTCTTTACTCATCTGTAAAAAAAAATGTATCGGAATAATAAGAGCTAACAGTTATGGGGCACTTATACAGCACCGAGCACTTTGAAGGAATTATCTCAACTCTCAAAATAACAAAGTCAGCTGTCATCCCGTATGATAGATGAGCGCATTGGGACTCCGGCTACACTGCAGCTAAACAAATGGCGGAATAGGATTCAAAACCAAGCAGTCTGGGCCCAGGGGCTGGCCTCAAAGGGGGACACGTCAGCACCTTCCTCATCCAGGGGTTCACTTGCAGCCTGGCTTCCAGAACCTTCTCCTTAGTGACGAAAGCCAAGAGCTGCACTTCCCAGGATGCCTCGGGCTGTAGAGCTGGCCTATCAGGAAGCCCCAGGTGGAGGAGCCGGCCAATCAGATATTCCCAGGTGGAGAAGCCGGCCAATCAGGAAGCCGGCCTTGAGTCAGCGCCTGCTCAGCGCGCCTCGCAGTCAGAGCTTCCTGACCGTTGGCCAGGTGGGTGCTGAGGGCCGGCGCTTGAGGGGCAGGGCCGGCGGGGTTACTCAGTTAACTAGCCCAGTGGGGTGTCGGAGGGCAAGGACGACCGCACTCTCCAGGCTCCTTCTCCAGCCACCGGGCAGGCAGGTGGTCCTTGCGGGGGCTCTTCCTGGGCTCCTCCGGGCGGTTAGGTGGGAAGGGCCTGGGCTGACAGGTGGCCAGGGACCCCCCCAGCTGCGATCCAGGGCGGCTGGGAAACCATCCATTTCCCCGGGTGCGGCGGCCGTTGGGCTGCAGTTGGGCACAGGAAAGGCCAGGGTGGGCTGCTGCAGCGGTTGGGTCAACAGGGCGGGGTTTAGGGAAAACCTGCCATGGTCCTGGCCACTGCGGACCCTGCCCCTTGGGAAGGGCCAGTGTTTCAGTGGCCTACGTGCCTTTGATCTGTGACACGTTGGCTTCCCTGGACCCAGATATGCTGTCCCCAGAGCAGGGTCTCCACTTCTGGCCTCTTGCCTCACCTCCTGGTGAAGCGCAGTTTAACCACCCCTACCGCCAGCTGTGTCCAGCTCGCTGGAGAAGGCCAGACTCTTCCTGGCCCTGGTCGCCTGTTGTGGGCACTCACACCTAGCGGGCGGAATCCATTCACTTGGGCATTTTGCTGCCCAGTTGGTTTTACTCTTGCTTTTTATTTTTAGTTTTACACTTATTCTTTGCTTTTAAAGTACTTTAATTCCACCACCCCAGCCCTGCCCACCCTCTTTATTACTTTCTCTTTTTTTTTTTTTTTAAAATCGTGTTTCCTTTCCCCTCAGCCCTTTATCTTTTGGTTTGGCATGCCCAGCTAAGGTTGTTGACACTCCCTTTGTAGCACAGAGAGCCTTAAAAGGGGGTGTGAAGTGCATTTTACTGATTGATGTCTGGAAAACAAAACTATTTCTGTTACAGTGTCTCTGAAGTGAGTAAAATAGGATAAATTCCTCTGGTTCAAGAAAAGGCAGTTGCAAGGATTGATTTAAAGGTTAGTTTTCATTATTTTGGGCAAGCAGCCTGACCCTTAACTGCCCAGCTTTCACACTGCTGGAGGAATTGTGTGCTAATTGTGTGTTATTTTTCTAGTCATTTTGAGAGACATCTGAGGGCTGAGGTTAGTTTCTATTCAATCACGTGTCTTTATACTTGTATCTGATTGGATTAAGTACATGTAAAATACTTTGTATATAACATGGTAATGTGTTGACTTATACACTTCCTTTAACCCAAATTAAAATGTGTGCTGCTTAACTCCTAACCCTAAAGTAGCCATTTTGTCATCTGAGTTATAATCAAATCCTATTTTGATTTTACTGTGTACTTAAAAAAAATCATAAGTGGATCATGTCACTCAAGAATAAATTAGAGACATTGACTTACATAAACAAAATCAGAAAGAGTGTTGTATATCTGCTAAATTGTAAGGTGGTATATAAGTACTGAGGCTTTCTGAAAAGAGGCCATCTTCATTTCCATTGTAAGGGCCCCATCTTGTGGATATGGTATAATTAAAGAAGAAGAAAAAAACCAAAACACCTTTATCCCAAGAATTCCAGTAGGAGTTGTTTTCATTTGGAAAAATATTATAAAACACATTGATGATGTCTTTCTATGTTAGATGAAGCCAGATACTAAGCCTAAAAATAAAGTATCAGTTCTGAAGTAATTTTTTTTTAGAAATGCTAAAAGTTCAAGTATTTTTAAAGTACACATAAATACTTCTGGTTTATATGTCATTTTTCTTCTTTTAAAACAGATGTTTAAGAATAATGTTACTGATCATAAACAAAAGGTGGAAGCCATGATTAAAGACATTAACACAATCTCTTTGGAGTTGAAGAAGATGAAAGGTAAGAATAAAATCACTAAATTAAAACTTTTGCATGTTGTTATAAAGTAAATGGTAGAGCAAATTTGTGTTGGATTTCTCTATTAGGAAATGTTGACAGTAAAATGAATCAGGTCAACCCAGGAATTAGAAGATCCTGTTCTTATCCCTAACACTAACAAGCTTCTCATGTTGTCTAATGTCTAAATTTACCTCTCTTCCTTTCCTTCAGCACACTATTCAGTGATTATGACACATTCTACAAAATTCTGCAACTTTTAGGGACTCAGTAAGTCCCTAAGGTTCATTCCAAATTAAGAATTTTGATTCTGTGAGTTACAGATTCTTTATTTTAACCATGTTCAGAGAGTGATAGCAGACCTTATAATTCATGTTTAGTCAGTCACCAAACAAAAATATTCCATTATTTTATCTTAGGTATGTGAAATTTCCATGATATACTATTTCTATGGATAATCTATCCTTGAACAGACATTCCGTGTCTTGGGGAACTCCGTATCATCAGTCAACCCAACCCGTTTTTGACAGTTCCTCTTTATGGACTAGCTGAATCTGTTCCTTTGTTCCTTTTATCTGTGGGTCTTATTCTAACCATGAAAACTACATCAAATATGTAGTTATTCTTCTTACCACTCTTGAATATTTGAAGATAGCCTTTATTAGTGGTGAGTCCTCCAGCTTCAAGTAATAAAATATCAACTTAGCGTGACTTCTGCAATAAGGAATGTTTAGATCTAATGGAGAGCATCCCCAGAGTGAATTCAGAGGCTTAAAGATTTCATTAGAGACCAGATTCTTCCCATCTTTTTTCTCTGTCATGTTCACTCACTTTATCACTCACTTTACCTTCAGAGATGGCCATATACAGACATTATCTCTGCCTGTCTCTATTTAAGTCATTCCCCAGATGCCTGCAGCACATTTCCCCTCTCCTTTCATTGGCCAGATTTGCATCACTTGCGGATTCCTACAGCAGCCAAAGCCAAGGGGAATGGGACTGCCAAGACCAGTTTGGACCAGTCAGAACGCACTGCGGGAGCTGGGGAAAGGAGCACCTCAAATGGAACCAAGTTGTGCCACCAAGGAGAAGAAGGGAGTGGCTGTTAGTTAGGCACCAAATAGTGAGTGCCTGTTCTGCTTTGTCCCAACGAAAAGTATTCCCTAGGGTAGCATTTTTCAAACTTTGGTCTGTGAACCCTGCTGTCTCAAGAGATGTTAATAGATGATATGCAAGAAAACAGAATATTTTCTAATGGTCAAAAAGTTGGGGAAGTGCTTTATACTGTATATTTCACAAATTCACAGTGAATATTAACAGAATGAGAAGTTTGTTACAAAGAAATCTGATTAACTTTTATTATCTCTCAAAATATCAACACTATGTGAAGATTCTCTTCCTAAAATGAAAATCTTCTGAAAACCTTCCTTGATTCACCATTATCTTCAGGATGAAATCCAAGACTTCTAGAATGGATTGTATAATACATCCTTTTGAGATCTGGCCCTGCCTCCCTCTCTAATCTCACCCTTTTTTCCCTGCATATTTTGTGCTTTGATGATACTGAATTATTAGCACAACCATGTATCTGTTTTGTGTCTGTGCCCTAATACATAGGCCTTCTGAAATCCCATTACTACACCTCACCTTCTCCATACTAGGTTAACTGCTCCTTATTTGTTGAGGTCACTTACATTGCTTTTTTTGAACTCATATGTTTTCCTTTTACCCTTCCCTATAACGTATTATACTGTGTTGTAATTGTATATCTATTTGCTTTTTCTCTCCCTGCCCAACTGGAGGCTCATTAAGAGTATTTCTATCACTTAACACAGTTTCTTGATAGGGCTTCTTGAAAATTTTTATTAAATAAAAAATAATGTTTCTGGATGCTTGAACTCATTTGAAACAATTAGTCTTTCCATTCCTCCAAGATTTGATTATTTGTGAAATATTCTTTCAGGAAGTAAATAGAGATGATAAATATGATAAACATGTACCTGAAAAATTGTGTGGGTAGGGTAGTCACGCAGTTAGTATATGAGGACCTAAAGAGCTAGACTAGAAGGGTAAATTTCTGGTAAGGACTAAATGAATGCTTCAGTTCTTCTTCACTTCTTCCCAAAATAATAGTGTCAATGGATAACAGAATTTTACATGATTTAGGTATTCTTCTAAGAGCTCCACATAAGTGAATTCAATTAATTGTAATAATAATGCTATAAGGTTGGACAATGACAGATGTGTAAAATAGGTTAGTTAATTTTATCAAAGTCAAGCAACTAGTGAGTAGTAGACCTAATTTTAAAATTTATAAAGAGTCAGAAATCTATATGGTTTAAGAGATGAATAAATAACAACAAAATAGATACAAAGGGAAGAAATAAGTCTAAACTCTGATGTCCACAAAATTCTGAACTCTTAAGATGATTGGCTACAACCAAGAAATAAACTCTCAAGACTCAATACATGGTGACCCCAGAATTGTCCAGAAATGAGGGTGGAGCAGAGCTGGATAACTGGGAACACTAGTTAAATGTTAAGAAATCATAAATCCCTGAGGTCTCTTCTGCCCTGTAACTGGGCAACCATCCACCTTCTGTGACATTAAAGCCATGGTTAAAACAAGGAATGTCTTCCTGGAGCCACCAGACACAGTTTAGGGAGAGGACTATACTGAAAATAGGATATTAGACAAAGTTTACATACTAAATTGTTAGACATCCTAAAATGGCCACCAAAACACTTAAAGCCAGATTTATACCCTTCAGATTTTTTTTTTCTTTCAGGAATTTGATCACCTAAGAATAAAGACCTAAAGAAAGTAGAGATTCCCCCAACCAAATAATCCAGAATGGTTACCCAATAATATAAACACTGTGAGATGGAGTTTCCAGTTCTTTTTATTGTCATGATCTTAAACCTCTGCCAAAACTGTGGTGTAACAGATATTTGAGGAAGGCATTAAATATGAAAAGCAAAACTTAGAAATCAGTGAGAGAGAAACAATTTCTGAAGGGAGATAAAACTTCAGGAAACTACTATTAATATCCACAGAGAAGTTGGAGAAGATGCTAAAGCCACTAAAAAGAAATAAGATACTATAAAAATATTTAGGGAGCAAAAGGGAGTGCTTGGAAATTAAAGTATGAAAGTAGAAGTGAAAAACTCTAGAAAGACTGAAAAGTAAAGTGAAGAAATCCCCCTAGGGTATAGAGCAAAACAACAGATGGAAAATTTTAGTGTAAGAATAGTGACAAGATCAGTGAAGGAAGTACAACATTTAATAAATACTGTTAGAACATAGACAATAGATAGGAAGAATTCATTGAAAACATAATCTGAGAAATTTTCCCAGAGCTAAAGGACAGGAATTTCTACAATGGAAGAGCCCAGCACAATGGATGAAAATAGATACACATACCAAGGCATAGTATTGTGAAATTTCAGAATACCGAGAGAACAAAAAAAAGCATTCAAATGTCTGAAAAGATGATAGGGATTGAGAATATCGTAAAAATTCTCAATAGTAACATGGAAGTTAGAAAACAGTGCAGCAGTGCCTTTGGAAATCTGCAGAAATAGTTTCCAATTTGAATTTCTATAGGTAGACAACCTGCATAATTGGACATTAAAGGGAAATTTTTAGATTATGTAGCTCCTCTTGCCCCTGGAAGTTACTGAACCTGTGTCCAAACAAGTAGCAGACCAAAAGAGAGATGCATGAAGATTCTGGGAAAAGAGCCACTCCACAGAAGGGAAGGGGTGGAAAGGGAGTCCCTAAGATAATGGTGAAGGGAGCTCTCTAGGCGCACACAGTCGCACAGCAGTCCTAGAGAGCAGTTGTCTCAGAGTGCTGCAGTGGAACTGCTAAGGCTTTGAGATATGGTCCTAATACACAATGAAAAAAGTAGAATATAATTATTGTGCTTGGGAGGTAGCTTGCAAGAAACAACATATCCTACTTACAAGACTCAGCTGTGAAAAATATTTATATAATTAAGCATTAAATATTTGAGCTACCAAGAACTGTCCTCTTATTGGCGGAGTAGGGATTGAGTGAAAGAGCTATATCCACAAGGCACAAGCCTCCAAATTAGAAAGAAATTCCAGTTAGAGATATAGGAATAAACTACTTAATCCCCCCTCAGTCCAATAAAATAAAAAAAAAAAAAAGGAAGGGACATGATACAACAAAAGCAACAAAGTTAAAATGAGAGAAACTATTTTTTGTAACTTGCCTTGTAGACCTGATTCTATGTGCATGTATAACTTAAATAAAGATGTTAAATAAAAATGTAGCCAGGTGCAGTGGCACATACCTGTAATCGCAGGCTGAGGCAGGAGGATTGCAGGTTCAAAACCAACCTCAGCAACAGTGAGATGCTTAACAACTCAGTGTGACCCTGTCTCTAAATTTAAAAACTACAAAATAGGGCTGGGGATGTGGCTCAGTGGTTGAGTGCCCCCAGGTTCAATCCCTGGTACACGCCCCCCCCAAAAAAATGTACAAATCAAATTTGTAAAAATCTAGTTAACAGTGTAGGAAAATTGCTGACTATTGGGCCTAAAAAGTATTTCCAGTCAAGTTTTACATCATACCTGTATGTAGTATATAAATCTAAGGCACACCTGAATTGTAGTTTGATCAGTAATCATTTGAAAAAAACTAAATTAGGAATAGCTTCTTAGAGCAATTAGAGTTACTTATGACATGTGTCCTATAATGTCTGCCATGATTTTGTTTTACTCAGAGCTCTCCCAGTTATTGCTTTGTGACCTTACTCTACATTTTAATCACCCTGTGAAGATGGAAGACTTAAAGGAAGCAGAAAGAAGCAACTCCCTGTTTGAAGAGTCTGAATTATCTGATGTATCCCTTACTTCTAACAAATATTCTGTCTGACTTCTTTCTTTCTTTCTTTCTTTTTTTGGGGGGGCAGGGGGGTTTATAGTGTGAGAAATTTCTATTTTTATTGTTGAATTAACAAATTTGTGTGGGAATTGAATTTACTAATATACTTAATATACTAAAAAAATAATAGCTGTAAATAAACACTTCATGTTCTTGAAGGTCACTTCATTATTTGCATGTTTCAGAGTGGCTCAATTGTTTCACTGTGGCAAGAGTGTGACATGGGATATCCACTATGGGCACTGTTATCCTTTTTGTCTTATGCTTGAATTTGGCTTAGGTTGCCAGTTACTAAATTATTAATGGGGATCATATGAGTTTACATTAATCAGAGCTCTCCTGGTATTGCACACACAAACAGGGAAACATTTATTGGGTCACATGACTTGTCCACAGTTGGAGTAGATTTCAGGGACTTCGCACATCATCTGATGTCTCTGTTGTGTATCTGTGTGTTGACCTCATTCTTTCCTTTGATTGACTGGTTTCCTCCACAGGGTGGGGAGAAGGAGGGAGAAGGAGCTAGCAGACAACTCTAGGCAAATAGCATTGCCTTTGGGGGCCCCCAAAGAAGAAAGATCTGTCTCTCTGCCCATGTTTTAACAGTTCAGAGAAGGACCCCAACTGGTCAAAGATGCTTATCCCTGAGCACAGGCCTGTGCAGTGATGATTGGGACCATAAGGCCTGAGGGCAAAAAAGGAGCAGCTCAGCCAGAAGAAGGAAGCGGCCCCTGTTTAAAGAAAGGAAGAAAGTGTGGGTCACGAATGCATCAGATTCCCATTGATTTCCACCACAGCAGCGGAATGGAACACTTTATCCTAAAAGTTCCCAACTTCTCTCCCTTCCCACCAGGAGACTTAAAAAACTAAGCTCTGGGTTGTCGTCATGATTCACCACCAAATAGATATTTTTTAGCAAAAGAGAATGCTGTGAGGCAAGACCCAAGTTGATTTCACTTCATCCTGGAGTGTAGTGTCAGCTGACCTCACTGCCCAGCACCTGGCTCAGTGTTAACCCAGAATTGACTCTAAACAAATACTTGTTATAACATGTCCTGTTGAGCAAGCATGCAAATGAATACAGGTCTTTCAGCTTTTGAACATCCAATTCTGGACTCAAGTGAATTGAGAGCTTCTGGTTTGTAAGAATGAGATTTTTATTTTTATCATTGGTTAAAAGTCTCCATATTCCACATACTCCTTATCTTAGCATATCAATTTTAACGAGGTAACTTGTCCCTCTTCCAATGCTCTATTAGATTGTGAAATTTAAGGTATAAGATAATTTTCTTTAACTCAGAAAACTGGTAGGTTAAGCAGAGAGCCCAAAACTTTTTGTTAATAAAACTTGTGTAGTAGTAAGTCCCCAAAGGGAAACATCTGAAGGTAGGTTTTTGTTGTTTTGCTGAATGTGGGTTTTGCTTCCTAAATACCCACCACAGATTCTCCTTGATTTATGATGAGGTTGCGTCTTTGAAAAAAAACACTATTGGTTGAAAATACTGCAAATAAAAAATGAATTTCCCACACAGACACCACAGCCCAGCTTACCATAAACATGCTCAGAACCTTTCATTAGCTTACTTTTGGGTAAATCATCTAACACCCTCTTTTATATTATGTTGAATATGGCACATCATATTGAATGCCTATATCCAAACACTAGCAACATGCCACTAGCTAGAGCACTGGTGGTTGCCCTTGGATCACACGGCTGGCTGGCTCATCTGCTGCCCAGCTTCCAGAGAAGATCATGCTGTATAGCACTAGCCCAGGAAGAGCTTCAAACTACAATTTCTGCTTAATGAATATTGCTGTCAATCATCATAAACTCAAAAATAAGTCAAACCATCACAAGTCAGTGACTATTTTTTGTTAAGTGAAATTTGTAAACTGAAGGAAAGCGTTTAATTGCCTTTGGGAAGAAAGAGAAGGGACTTTATGACAGGTTTATCGGGAATGAAAAAACCCAGAAGAGCAGTGCTATTGTTTGGATAAATATCCCCGAAAGGCCCATGGTGTTAAAGCCAGTCCTCAACCCTTGGTGCTATTGGAAGCAGTGCTGCCTTTAGGAGATGAGGCCTAGCAGAAGGGAAGTTAGAATACTGGGGTTGTGCCCTTGAAAGGTAGGGTACTGGGACCTCAGCCCTGCCTCTCTGTTTCCTGGCCATCATGAGAACAAACCTCTTCCACATGCTCCCACCTCAATGTACTGTACCACCAGAAGCAACAGGGCCAAGTAACCATGGACTGAAACCTCTGGAACCATGAACCACAATAATAAACTTTCCCTCCTGAGTTGATTATCTCATCTATTTTGTCATAGTAACAGAAAACTAACACAGTGTCTAATAGCAAAGTTTGATGAAATTGCATCACCATCTAAGCACTGCTCCTTCATCTCCCCAGGAAACTCAGTGAAGCCTATATAACTGAGCATTACTTTTGGGTTGGGTGGTAGAGGGTGTGATAGTGGTGCTGGGTACAAGGAGGGGATGAAATGTCAACCTATTTGATACCAAAGTCTCATCTCTAAATTTAAAATGTTTCCTTTTGATATCTGTAGATTAAATTTGCTTTAAAACAAACAATAATAGTATGGACTAAACAAAAAAGTCAGTAAAGTCGTTTAGGAAGCCAAAAGAAAGGCAAAAGACTATTTTAATCCCAGGAAGTATCCCAACATGCATTTATCTTGTCATTAAAAAGTACACAAAATCCCCCTAAATAAAACACCAAATAAGAACCAGTGGCATTATATTTTTGAAGCCTCAAATTATTGCTGCTGAGAAAAAGAATTTTAGTAACTTTTAAGTTATATAAAAAAACTTATGATTACCTCTGACTGACAAAGGCTTGGCTATGTTCCATGTGATATCAAAAACTACTACTATTTCAGTGTTTCTAAACTTGCCCCAAATTTGCTGTGGCTATGTAAACTACTTCACTTCAAAATGGGCATTCAAAAATACACATCTTTTTTTTTTTTTTTAAATGAAGTACGTAGTACACTACTAGACTTCAAGTATGAACAATATTACTCTTGAACTTTATAAACATTAAAGAGGAATAAATAAATTATGGTATATTTGACAGTCTTCATTTCAAACACTGTTTTTAAAGGGAAGTACAAAACTCTCGTGTCGATGTCGAGGGGTTGGTTTCAGTACCGTTGTCCATTCACCAAGGTCGGTTGATCTTCTCAGGTCCACAACAGAGGCAAAAGGAAAGTCCGTCTCCTTGACTCACTTGCTACAGACACCCTGCAGGGTGCGTTAATGTGCATTGGTATCTAGAGCCTCGATTTTTCCCATCAATGAGCAGAAGTGGCATTTTTCTGAAGTAGTCAATAATATCTGACACTGACAAAAAATCCTGTAAAAGAGGAAGATAAGTCATCATTGAGTGGATAGTGTGAATTTCACTGTGTTTTTTTTAATCTGCATAATGTAGACCCTGTAAGTAACTAGAATGGGGGGGGGCACATAAATTGTGGCAGATGTTTTAGTAATTTCTGCTATAGAAATTTGAAAACATTCCTCATCAATACCCAACAAATAATGAATGAAAAACAAGTTCTTAAAATTTTATATAGGGAGTCATAATCCTAAATATTGGTTGCTCCTTGGGTTTCTGTTTGGGGTCTTGGTTTCAGTACCTCCTATTCACCCCAGTAATTAACGGGGTTAGGAGGGAAGGGGAATCAGGAGCTCAGACACCATTCACAGTGTCTGGAGGTGACAGCTACAGCATGGTATAGAAGTTCCTTCACAGCCTCTGCTGCATGCCCATTGCCACCTCCTCAATCACAGAAACTCGGCAGCCAACTGTTCTCACCCACAGCCTGTATTATACTATCCCTGATGGCCAAGAAAGGCCCCATTCATCCTTATGAATGTGGTCAGAAGTCACATGGTGTCCCACAGAGGAATGTGCACTCCTCCAGGACTCGGGGCCTGGGTGCCTCCCTCCGGGACAGCCGCAGTCAGCAGTCTGTGCCTGTGTGTTTCCATCCTAGGCCAAGGAAATCTGGGAGGGCGGAGCCTCCAGTGGTTCCAACATTTAAACAAAAGCACGTGTTTTGTCCCACTCTTCCACATTGTCATCGCTTAAAAGTGTGCGTCATGAATGAGTTTTTTCTCATTCTGGAGATGTTCACGTCCACTGGTCTTCCTCCTGCAACTTTGAACTCGAAGAAAAGCACAATTTGGGATGGTGCATTTAGTTGACAGCTGTCTTTACACAAGGCAGCCCAGAGGACCTCTTTCATATCAATTCTGACAACCACCCAAAAAATTGTCTGGCACGAGAATCTAAGCCTTAGCCCAACAATTTAGCGATCTGGCCATTGTCACAGAACTGTACCTCTTGCCCAGTAAGAAAAGACCCTAGTGTCCAAATAACCACCACAGCAAGTGTGCTGGTTCTTCCCCTTTCCCAGAGGTTATTAATTTAAAATACAGCCTTCTAGGTACACTGTAATCTTATACTAAAAATTATATGGCAGAGGTCAATAACAGAAGAGACTGGACTTTGATTCCATCTAACAGATTTTTTTTAAATGCTAACTTTTTTTTTTAATTTTGAAAGTTATAATGTGAGGTTGGATTATTTAGAGTAAAAGATACAAGAAGGACTCCTATGGCTGAATCAGTCACTGTTAATGTTTTGCTCTATTCCCCTCCAAATAATGAAGGGCTTTGCTAATGGCAATTAGCTCTAAGTTGCTGCCCAGCATGGGCTCCCAGAGAATATTAAGCGAATCTCCCCGTGGGGAGGCAGGCAGGTGTAGAAAGAGCATGGGGAGAAATTCTGAAGCTCCAAGTCCTTACCTCCTTCCCCCGGAGTCCAGTTCCCAGCATGTAGACCTGGCTTTCCTCCTGATAACGGATCTGGATGTTGTAGACTTTATCTTTGTACAATACCATGAGGACATACGGGTTGCTTATTGTTTTTTTAGAGCTGTCTCTAACCAGAAAAGTGCCATCCTACAAGGGGAAATTCTCGTTAATAGGGAACAGTAAAAGTCAGGACTCTGTTGCCTGTGAGAGCAGCTGACCCGCTCCCAGGTCTAGAAACTTCTGTCGGTGGAGTCCACTGGCCTTCAGCGGCTCCCCCAGCAGCCACAAATCCATGTGCCCTGCGTTTCTTGGTTATC